TCGAATTTACTCGAGTGAAAAATCCCTTGGAGTGGTCAAAATATTTGCAAGGAACCTTGGGGTGTTTGAAATCCTTTTAAGGAAGTAGCTTAAGCGGTGAATAGGTTGCATCTATCAGTTGATTTGATCTTGCTTAAGATCAAATATTGGAAGAAGAAGCATCAACACCAAATTGGAGAATTTTGTATTGTTGTTTCTAACTCTTCAATTGTATTAAACATTTTGCATATAAGAGTTATCCTAGTTCCATTGTAATTAGGCGCAGACGTACCCACACGTGAGGAAGATAGTGGGGAATTGTGTAGATGAATTCCTTGTGTGTTTTTACTTTTCCGTTTTTACTTGCTTTCAATTTCATCAATCTCTTTATCAAATAGCATTGTGATAGTAATTGAATTGTAAGAATGTTTCTCTAAAATTCTGTTTTTGAAATAGGTGTGGATATAGCTTATAATTAATGCCAAGTGTTTTTTTATTATAAGTGGTTTTGTATATCAACACTACTCAAAGAGAAATTCTGAAAATTCACTTGTACGCCAAGTGTTTGATAAAACGATCGAGTTAGTTCTTTGATTATTTAGCCTTGGAAATAGAATTACAAAGTGATTGTGTTCCAACAATAAATAAGTGGATTGTTGATTTGATTTTGTATTGATGAATTACTCACTTTTATCTCATAGATTTATCTTTCATAATTTGCATATCCGAGTTTCCAATAAGTTGTTTTTTAGAAGACTTGTCCAGTTAATTGCTTCCGCATCAAAACGTTTTTAAAAACAATTAAATTCTAGATTTGTGTCTAGAATAAATTTTTTTGCACCTTTATTCACCCCTCTCTAGATACGTATCGTCGTCTAACAATTATCTCTTAAAACTTTAGATTTGTAAAATTTCTAATATTATCTACTTACCTTTGTCATATTATGGATAAAAAGGGGGAGTGGTGTGATATTGAGTGTGTTGGTGTTGGTACTACTGTTGAGGGGGAGAATTTTGTATTACTGTTGAGGGGGAGAATTTATGGTTCCCTTATTGATGGGGAGTCCCTACTCTAGAATGGAGGCTCTGAAGAGATGTCAAACATGATGTCTTGACATCATGGTATTGAGAACTTAGGTTCTATATTTGTAGCAGATGTGTTAGTAGATCAACTAACTACTAATTGTGTCTCTGATTTTTTGTTGCTTCTCTGACTTTTTGCTGCTCCTAACCTTGCTAATGTGTTTTCTGTTGTTGTGCCTCTGACGTGTGTGTTTGATTTATTTTTAAACATATTTTATGGTGTTTTATTGTGAAAGGGTTATTTGGTTGTTTTATCCAAAATATGCCAAAGAGGAAGATTGTGATTTCTCTAAAATTATGATTAGCATACATTTTCATAAAACCAACTTGGCGGCAACATATTGAATAAGATGTTCCAACTTGCAGTTTCCAACATGTCGAATAATATGTCCCAACCATGAGGATAGGACATCATGTCTACAGCAACTGACAGTTATGTTTCAACTGATATGTTAGTTACTAAATATTTGGGGAATATTTAGTTAGCTTATGTCACGTACAAGACTTACAAATCAGAGATTTTATGTTGGTTTTCGAAGATATACTAAGTTTCTAAATATGGAGACATTTTAGGAAACTAATGATTGAATACATATTTTCTTGGAGAAGATTTTGCAGACTTTGTGCAGTCTCACTGCTGCGATTTTGAAGTCCAACCCAGTCCAGAATAATGTTATATATAGGCTGGTGTATACCTAGTTTTAGGTAGAACTTATGTTTATTTTTGTTAGTGTTTTAGAATCCTTATTTGTGAGCCTCTCTAATATCATATTTATAGAAGAGTAGGACTGCTTTGGGTTTTATGTTTTGTCAGGAATCCATGACCTTTTAAACATTAGATGTTTGTGTGTCATTTGTTATAAGCTTTTAAGTATTGAGTATTTGTGTGTCAGTTCTCATAAGCTTTTAAGCATTAAGGATTGTGTGTCTTGGAAGAGTGACTTCTTGTTTTTGTTCTCTACTGTGTTTAGAGTTACTCCGATCACTGAGTGTGATTGAAAAGGGATTTGAGGAGGGCCTCATTCTTAGGTGTGTCTTAGGTAGAAGTTTAGGAAAGGGTAGTGATTAAGTGCATAGATTGTAAACTAGTATATTCGCTGTGTGGTCTACAAATTGATATTATCTAGTTAATTTCGTCTCTGGCTTGGTGCCCCCAGAGTAGGTGTTGTTGTCACCGAACCGGGTAAACATATTTGTGTGTTAATTACCTTTAGCACTGTTTATTTATTTGTATATCCTATTGTTGTATGTTGAAGTCGGATCTGATGTCTCGACATATCTTAAGACATCCGGGATCTGACAACCAGAATTTTAAAGACAATGAAACCATATTCTCAAGGTTTAAAACACTAGTTTTTGGGTCTCAGGTCTTAAAAAAGAGTTACACTACTTCAAATCATATGAAGTTGATCATTAGAAGTTTCCTACCACATGGAGATTTAATGTAATTTCTATTTAAAAGGCTAACAATTTGAACAAGTTGACACTAGAACAAATCATAAGCTCTCTAAAGAATTATGAGTTTGAGCAAGATGCAGATGAACCTCTAAAGGAGATCAAATCAGTTTCTGTAAATTTAAAGGTTAAAGTCGTCAAAGACAAAGCACTCTAAGACGAGAAAGTACAGTCAATTGATGAGACACCATATAATGAAGATGTTAAAGGACAAGATGAATAGGAGATAAATTTTTTCACCAAAAGGATCCAACACCTGTACATAAGAAAAAGGTTCCCCAAAGGGAACTCTGAATGCTACAATTGATCAACATCCAGATTCAACAAAGGCAACTTGAATGCATGCTATGGTTGAAATAAGTCTAAACACTTTAAGAATGATTGTCCAAAACTTTAAAAGCAGAAATCCAAAAGTTAAAACTACAAAAGAAGAAAGAAAAAGGGCCGCATAACAGCATGTGATGACTTTGAAGAAGAATAAGATAATGAAGAGAAAAATATACATAATGACTACAACTTATGATAGTGATCAAGACACAAATGAATATGATGAGCTATGCTCAAGCATAATTCTTAACATGTACATTTTAAAAATATGATTGAGATTATAACAATGATTTTTTTTTGTTATAAAGGTAACATTCCTTAAAATTCTCACTACAATAAAAGTTGTCTCCAACCACATGATTTAGTGACATGAAATTCACGTGGCTAAAAAGGATATGATTACGACATGAAAATCACCTCACTAAATATTTAAAATAATAAAATAATAAACATCATGCTTTCACATAGAGAAAATGTAAAATTTTCAAAAAATTTATTGTGACATGTATTTCACGTCCCTAACCAAAATTCAAAAATTATAAAAATTAGAATGGGAAATGTTGATCGATTGAATTGGTTGGGCTGAAAATTTTATTAGCTTGTGGCGTGATTTTGACGACGCTGATATTTGTTACGTGATTTTCATATGACAAATTTGTGGCATGAATTTTACGTGGCAACCCTCCTTTTCAGCCACGTGAATTTCATATCACTAAATCAGATCTCACTTTCTATCCGATCTTCCCTACACATTATGATATCTCACTTTTTATTTTATTCACTCCACCATTTTCTTCTTCTTCTTTTTCTCCTCCATCATTTTATTATTCTTCTTCTTCTTTTTTCCCTCCACCTTTTTTCTTCCACCAAAAACCAGTCTTCAATATATATATATATATATATATATATATATATATATATATATATATATATATATATATATATATATATATATATTGTTTATAATTTTTTGTAAGAAAATATAAATATGTAGTAAAATTTACAAATAGGTTTATTAATTTTTTTATATATTGTTAATAATTTTTTTATAGTATTTATAAATATTAAAGGTATAAAACATAAAATATGTTTATTAGTTTTTTTAATTCTAAAAATCCGAAAATAGTTTTATATATGTTTTTAAAACAATATTTATAAATATTAAAATTAGAATATATAATTTTTGTATGAAAATAATAGGTAGTAAAATATAAAAATAGGTTTATTAGTTTTTGTATATATTGTAGATATTATTAATATTTTTTTACAGTATTAATAAATATTAAAGGTATAAACTTAAAAATAGCTTTATTAAATTATTTTATTTTATTTTTGTAGCGTAAAATTCATATGACAGAGTTGATATTTGTGGCGTAAATTTCACGTGAAAAAGTGTTGCGACATAAAATTCACGTAGTCAATTTATAGCTTGATTTTTACGTCATAACTGAGTTGTCACAAGTGCTCCAGCCACGTGATTGTTCACGTCGTTAATTAATGGTTAGTGACGTGATTATAGTGTTTGTAATTTGAAATTCTTGTAGCTAATTAGCGTTTTTTTGTAGTGTGTTGAAAATGATTTGATAATATTTCTGATATTTATGTTTATAGAATAATGTGATATGATATAATTTTAAGTAAGAATTTGAATTTTGTTAAAATAATTTAAATTTTAACAAATAAAAAAGGATTGCTTAAAATGTAAATGATAGAAAATATTGTAATAAATAAATTATCTGATTGCTTTAAAAAGTTTGACTCATTTAAAATCTTATTAATTTTTAAATTTAAAATTGATAAAACTAGCTTGACTAGTATTTTAAATTCCATAAATTATTTTTACACAAAAAACTGCCTTTAAAATCCTTATTCAACACCCCAATCACTCAATACAGAACCTATCAAAACCTTGGTAGTCCTGTTTACTTTAAGTTTTTATGTTTTCATTTTCATAAAATTCTACATTAAAAATAAACATGACATAAGGTTCATGATTGCAACAAAAAGAAATTAAATATCCCATGAGTCTTTACTATTCCATAGGAAACAAAGATTCTTATTAGGTAAGATACACAATCAATAGTTTGTCAAATAAAGGAAAACAGGAAAAATCATGAGGAGAAGCAAATATATAAATCCAGTTGTATGATAATCAATCAGAGGCAACAATCTATAGCACAACAACAACATAATCCAGCACAACTGCAAACAAAAAAGATACAAAAGATAAAATCAGATATATATTTACAAAAGTTTAGTATGAATTAAAATAAGATAAACACATAGATAATGTTAAACTTACCATCCTTCCCAAAAACCATCACCCCTGGTAGTTGTTTTGACTGGAGCAGTTTGTTCAGGATCATCTTTTGTGGGGTAACCCATTGGTGGTGGTGGAGCAACTTGGTGCTTGTTTTCACCCATTGCTGGATATGCAATCACTGCTCAAAATTAACAACACTAATAATTAGATTAATTCAATAAAAATTCTTGCTAACGTACATTAAATTATTAAATATACAAAAACATGGAATAAGACTTACCAGGAGATTGTTGTTGTTGATTGATATTGTGACTCATTGTGTTAAGATGAAGTTGCTATAGATCTTTTTTTGTATAGTAAAGTGAAAAGTTTGTGTGATTAAGTGGATGCTGAGAATAATGGATACTTATTGTATAAATAGGTGTTAGGTGGTGGCGATGGAATAAAAAAAGCGCGTTTTGGGGAAAGCAAAAGCAACTGAACTTCTTTGCAGCGGCTGCCAGCCTTGACTTATAGTTCCCACCTGAATCATCTGTTCCGTCTGCTCAAAGAAAGGAACTACTTTTCCTTTTGCTGGTGAAATATAGAAGTTACACGAATATATTCTTATCTTTGTTTTTTTATTAAAAAAATTAATTTTAAGATATAAACAATTAAAAAAAACAAAATTGATGTCTCGTGTTTTTTAGATATTCAATTCATTTTTATTTTTAAATTATTTTTTATTTAATTACTGACTTGAACGTTGTAGTAGTAACTTTATACATTTAACAATTCTTTATTACGTTGGAAGTCTAATTTAACGTGTTTGAACTTTATTTCATTACTTCAACATTTATTTCTGATTTTTTGATCAGAACAATGATGCAAGAACCTTCTGACCTATTAAACAATGTGTATAACTTGGTACAATAGTAAAATTTTCAAACTTTGGTGGATAGGATACTAAAATTGAAGAGAACATGTAGTACACTCCTCTGAGAACAGGACCACGCGTGAGGCGACTTCGCACAACAACCAAGGAGTCATACTATAGTTGACTCCAATAGACGCATCCTCATCTCACAGAGCGATTTCGAGGTCACCAAGTCGTAATGGAGATAAAAGACATCAGACTCTTCTACCTGACTCTGGAGGGAGAAGTGGCAACCACATTCCACCAAGAGGTTCGTCGTCCTCGTAACTCGCTTGTAGGGTTGTTCATGATACAATTTAGCTTGAAAATTTAAACCAAGTAGAGTTGAACCATGATTGTCATACATTATTAAGGATCAAAGCATAGCCAAAATCACAAGTTTTCCAAAAAGATGTATCTAATAAATAATTTTTATGAAAAGCTATTTGAAATAACTTCAAACTTAAATAATTTTTGAAATTTTGATATCAAAGAAAATTTATATCAAAAGGATGAAATACCTAAAATAGCAATTTAAGAAAAACTATTTATACCAATTTTCATTTGAAGTTTTTTTTTTAAATTTATTTGTAAATTGTTTTCAACAAAAATATGTTACACTATCTCATTTTAACCCTTATTAAATTTGTGACAAATCTCATTTTGGAGGGTAATTTGTGTCTAATCTAACCGAATCTGAACCGAATGTAGATTTGGTTAGAAGTAAAGGTGATGGTTAGTAAAAATAACACTAAAAAGTATTATATATTATTAATGTGTACCACCTGGTTCTATTCAAATGGATTTTTGAAAAAGGAAATAGTTGTTTGAGGGCATGTATCGCGTAGGACTTTAACAAACAAATCTCATGCTTCTCAATGCATTATCTAATCAAACCCAACATGATTGCTTCATTCATCACACTCTTCAATTTAAAAACCATCTGCTTGTCTCTGATATTGTCTTCTACTCATCTTCCTCAAACAACTTTGGTTTCAACTTCAACCTACTGAGGTAAGTAACAAAATTTCAGGAGTTTTATTATTCTTCACTTCTGATATCATCTTCATCATTGTCATTTGTTTTTGTTGATGCTAACGTTGATTTTTTTCATTTTCTGCATTTATACTTGAACATGGCTAGACTGTATGAACTGGTGAAAGACATCAATGATAGCAGAGAAATATGAAAAATTGCAGTTCAAATCCATCACAAATGGATTGTGGTGAACAAGACCAAGGAACACATCAAGATGGTTGTTGTTGATAAAGATGTAAGATCTGTGATTCTGATGAAGTGACTCATTTTTATGTTTGTATGGTGCCGGTAATGTATGATACTTAGTTTATGTTTTCTGGATCGGTTTTGCCTGGTTAGTTTGTTATAATCCTTATTTTAGGTAATGAAAATTTGCTATAGGTTTTTACATAATATACAAGTTTTCATTGTTAACTCTTTCAAATTTTCTAGTTTTGTCTGTTTAGATAACTCCATGATGATATTATTTATTTTATCCTTTTGTTTGGTTCCTATTTTAATAAGTTTGTTTTACAAGTTTACGTTTTTAACTCTTTTGAAATTTTTGAATTTGTATTACTTACGTTTTTAACTCTTTCAAACTTTACAGTTTTCTCTATTTAGAAAAATATGATTATCAAGTTTTCATTTTTAACTATTTCAAACTATATGGTTTTCTTTATTTAAATACCTCTATATTTCAGTATATATGTATTCCTGTTAAAAATCTTATAGTTTAAATAGAACAAAATATGTTATTTTCCTTACCACAAACCTGATATAGTTTTCGTTGCCTGTTTTGCATTCAGGGATCGGACATACGTGTGAAGGTTCCAAATGTTGTAGAAAAAGTGTACAATTCTGTCATAACAGTCAATAGCACTTATACTATTTCAAACTTTCAAGTGTCGTTGAATGATGTTTTGTTCAAGCCTTCGGAGTACAAATTTGTGGTGACATTTACTGGTGGAACTTCAGTTTCTGACAAAAACAAACATGAAATCTCTCATGAACCATTACAGTTCAAACCTTTTGTTGATGTCATCATTGGCAAATATGTTGTACCCTAAAATTTACCCTCTTGATTTCAGAATTTTTATTTGGCTTATATTTCATCTGCATATGCATACATACATTTGCTTTGTTGCTATAAGATCAAGGTATGCCAGTAAAGCATCGACTATTTATCAAAAGCGTCAAAGGCTTTGTGCAGGAAATTAAATCATCTAAGGAACAGGTTATCACCATGTTCTATTCCCGTGTATTTTCTCATGTCTTGGGAAATATAAGGGAATCAGAGGTTTTGATCTGATTCATAACAGTTTGGGTTAAAAATCTGTTTCATTGCATCAAGTTCATAATTTTCTAACTGTGAGCCAGAGTATTGTTTTTAGCTGAAATTTGATCACCAAGTCCATGTTAATATTATATTCACTTTTCGTATTCGGTCCGGGAGCCAATTATGTGCAGATGACGGTCAAATAATTTTATTACTGAGTTTTCAGGTTACCGATCAACGGTGTTTTGGGCGTTCAGAAATATCTAACTCTGATTTTATATACCGTCTCTAGGTGGTTCTTTCACCATTTAATTCGCCTCGATATTCTCTTCAACTTCCTTGTTCGGGCCTAAAGCTAATTCTCGAAGGAAGGTCTCCGAATTTGCAAATTAGACAAATATGAATAGTAGAAAATACTTATACACAGTTGGTTGAACCGTGTTTTGCGCACACTAAAAATTCATAACGTGAAGCCTGTGATTCGTTTTGAACCCGTTTCGGTGGTTAAAATTCCGTCTCGACGTCATCTATATTTTTATCTCATACGGCCGGAAGCTAATTATGCTCAGAAAGGCCCCGAAAATATGGATTTATTAAGTATGTTCGCACAGGAAAATTGTGGCAAATGTTTATCTGCACAACATCCAAAAAATCATAACTCGGTTGATTTTTATCGTATCGATCCCGCTCCTATGGAATTGTCTCAAAAATTGAGTTATCTAAATTTTGGTTTCCATTTTCAAGAGCCAACAGTACCCTGAAGGCTTCAGTTTTTGGCCCGAAACGTGTGCAACTCACTGAAAATTCTAAAGCTGGAAATTAAAGTTGTTTGGGGCGAAATTTAAAAAATTCATAACTAAATCACCGTTTATCCGATTAAACCCATTTTCGGACATGAGTTTTTTGACATTGTCGGCTACATTTTGGTTTCATATTTCAACTTGAAAAATCGTACTGAGGTTCCTGCGAATTTTCCCGGAACGTGTCACACTCAAGTTAATTAAAATTCTGCATTAGTATTTATGGATATTTGAGGCCCATTAACCAAATCCACTCACATAAGCCCATATTGTATATTCTTTTTAATCCAATTTCTCTCGTAACTCACCAATCTCCACAAACAATCTAAACTTTTCTCTCAAAGATCAAATCAAGGTTCTACACCTTTTTCATCAAGAACACAACAACAACTTTATCAAGATCCAAAAGTCAAGATCAAGAGCAATTTTTCTCCGATTAATGATCCGTTCGTTGCGATCTCTATACCTAAGCCTCCTCTTCACTTCTATCAGTGAGTTTTCTTGAATTAAGCGCTTTTTTAAATAAGTGAATTTTTTGAATAAGTGCTTTTTCTTGGTTTTGTTGTTGATTGAAGTTTTAATTGTATGATTGAGGCTTAATTGTTGAGAATTTATTTGGATTGATGATTTAATATCATTTTGTTGAATTGCTTATTGAAATAAGTGATTAATTGAACTTGAGAAGTTGATTTTGGTTGTAACTTGAAATTGACATAGTGTTGTTGTGTAGATTTTTAACCCTAGGTGCCATTACACTAGTGTTTATGTTGAATTAGCTATAGAAGACTATTTAGCACTAACACTAGTTTGAGATTTTGAACTCTTGATTTGATTAACACTAGTTCCTAATTCTTGATGTAGAATTTGTTAATAGTTTAGGTTAGATAGATTCTAACACTAACTTTGATTTAGGTGTTGTAACATAAACTAACAATTAGTTTAGTTTAGGCCTAATCTTTAATTTTCAAGCTTTACTACATGTTTCCAATTATTTTTGGTTGATGATCATTGATTTTTTGTGCATTTGAAATACATTTTTGCATATGATCTCAAGTTACCAATTCTTGACATAAACTAATGTTTTTGTCAATTGTTGATTGATTTTTTGTTGCTTGCCATTTTAATGAGTTGAGATAATTTCTAGTGGGCTCAAATATCATTGCAAAACACATTTGAAACAAGTTCGGTTGAGTTTGATAAAAAAATATCTCAATATTTAGTAAATTGGTAAAATTTGACATAATTGGTGTTTTTGCTCTAACTCTTGATCCGTTTTGAGTTTTTCCGACTTTCTTTAATGAAAATCGACTTTTTCAAGCCATCTGA